CAGGTACTAAGACCCGGAGAACCCCGGACCTCTGTGGCTGTCTAGCCAACTTTGCAAACTGTAAAGGCTCCTAGGCCGAGGACTGGAACAACGGCCAGAACAACTTGGTCGGGAAATCCCGGCTCCAGCAACGCTTAGCACAGGCAGTCAGCTGCAGCCTTTCCCTGGCTCCAGCAGCAACAACTCAGCATCCAGAGAGCCTTGCCTTAGGACTTGTAGAGGGCTCCGGGCCAGTTGGAGGGCAAGAAGTTTTAGTGAGAGGTCAGTCTGATTCTCAGACAGCGCCCCGCATCCCAATCCTGATGGCGTCTTTTTTCAGCCAAGGGGCTGATCAAGACTAGTGCTTGGAGGGAAAGTGGATCCCTGACCAGTTTCTGAATGCGTGAAGGGAGAGGTTGAGAGCTAAGAGAGGACAGGAGGTCCGAGGATGAGGTCCTGGAGTTGAGCAAGGGCATTTGAGAAATCAACGAAGTCGTGGTCCCTGAGCTAATCACTGGCTTAGGATACAGCCAGTTCATACAGAGACCCTTAAAGAACCCACTGGGTCCTTCTCTGTATGATTCCTGGCTCATGATGGCTCCTTTCCGAGAGAGAGAGAGAGAGAGAGAGAGAGAGAGAGAGAGAGAGAGAGAGAGGCCAATTAGTCACTACACAGGCAACTCAGCCTCCTGAAAGCCGCTGAGTGTGTAGGAGACGGGAAAGGTCATTTTGGGTTCGGGCAAGGCCCTCCTGGCTACCTTACTGGAGGGATCCAGCCAGTTCACCCACTGGTACAGCCTCCTGTGAGATGAGTGCTCCTCTCAGGGTGAGTTACCGCCAGATTAGATTCGGAGATTTCAAGGAAATTCCAAGTGGAACGAATCGCGCCTTCTGTTGGCAGTAGAGCTGGCCGGGAAAGCGCCAGGCTTTGGCTTTGGCAGCCTCCAGTCCGATGACCGGCGCCGGTCTCTGCTAGCTGGAGGTCAGGACTTGCTCCCTGGTTCGGAGCCCATCCCAACCTCTGCTCTTCTCCGACAGTTGGGGATCTGGCTTCCCTAACCATGGTCCCTATTTAACAAAGGCAGCAGAGACCCCGTTGGAGAGAAGGCGAACTTCCAGGGTGAGAATATGTGTCTTACATGGAGGGCTGAGTGGCCAGGTAAGCAGGGGGAGGCTTGTTTGGGCAGCGGGGGTGGCTACAGGAAGGTCAGTTTCTCTTTGTGTCAATATCTCGAGTCCGAAGTAATCCTCTGAAGCGGTGGGGCTGTTTGCTCCGGAAAGCCTGCTTGCTCTGGTCCCAACCCAAACGATTCCTCACGGTTTAGGGCCGGTGCCCAAATGACTTCTAGTTCATGGTGACCCCAGCGACCTCCACCGTCTTTTTCTGGTCAGACTTGAGCCTGGCTCTGGTCTTACAGAATGAGCCAGAAAACAAATGAATTGGGGGTAATACTCAGAAATGTAAGCCCTTGGCTCAGCAGGAAGTGACTGGGGAATAAGATGGGGAGGACTGACTGGCCTCTGTGCTTCTCCTTGGTGGTAAGAATCCACAGGCCTTTGCTACTTCCTTCTGCCTAGAGCAGGGTTGTTCAGAGGTCGTGCCAGAGCCCTTGGGAGATAGCTTAAGAGTTGATGGTCTCCCCGCTGTGCATCAGCTTGGAGATGGCAGCTTCTTCCAGGTGCTACTTAACCAACTGCTAATTTCTGTGCCTCCTTACCCTGGCCTTCGGTCTGTCCCAGCTTTCCATTTTCAATTTCCCTGGCAGAACAGAGGGGCTGGGCCCCAGCTAGTCTAGTTTTCAAAGTTGGTGCAAGTTCTTGTTTTCTTTATAAAAAGCTTTGGTTTTGACACCCAAAACTGTTTGCTTGCACAATACAGGCCTGCTTTGGTGCCCAATTTGTGGGCAGTAAGGATGGGATGGGGCAAATAGATCCAAGAAGATGGGCAGGATAAAAAATAGGGGCCCGGACAAAGTCCCACCTCCTCATTTTTCTGCCCCTGGTCAGCCCCTCCACCTTCTGAGCAGTATCAGTTTTGTGGGAAGGGCCAGGTACTGCCAGGAAATGTCAGGAAATGAATTCAGAGTTGCCCCACCCCTATAACATGTTCATCATTCACATCACTCCCCCAAGATGTTTCCTTCTCCCAAGCATCTGTACCAATCACAAAGCACTTCTGTAACTATTGCCCTTCCTGAACGTCACCCAGACCTTCAATTATACCCATTTTCTAGAATATGATGATGAGGTCAAAGAGGCAAAAGGATTGACAGAAGTTCACATGGGTAAAGCTGAAGCTAGTTCTTGGGTCTCCCTGGCATAAACATTGGGCTCTGGAGGATTTGTGGAAATGGAGAGAAGGACTCATCTCCAGAGAGGGCAGTGGACTGTTAGGGTGAGTATACTTGTGCAAGGCTCTCACTCTGTGTAATCCAACCATATCTGTGTCTACAACCCCACTTTTCATATGTGTCAGCACCTATCTACCCATTGGAGAGTCCACTGGGGAGAATTCATCCCTGCCCTTTCCTTATGCTTCTATTTGCATGTCTGTATACACTTCATTTTTTCTCTCTGGTGAATCTAGAAAGAATTTCACTGACCATGTGGGTCCTGCAGTCCAATCTACAGCTGAATGAGCAGAGTCCCTCCCCTCAAGACATTATAGACAGCCGTGATCTTTGGGGTATGGGCAGAACCTTGATGTGCAGCATGTCCTTATCAGGGCCTGAGTAGCATCTGTGGAAGTCAACTCCTTCCAGATCAGAGCTACAAAAGCCCTTAGGAGTATCTTCAATTCAATCCTTCTTTCTCCAACTCCCTCTAAATCCCATTCTATCTGCCCTGTGAAAACTGGCTTGTGTTCTTCTTTTATTTGTTTCTTAGTTTTGACCTGATTTATTTGTTCATCTCTGTGCCAGTCTTTCTCTAAATTGTACTTTTCTCAGAAAATGTAGCACTTTTTCAGTAAATGAGTCCTAACTTTTATTGATGCCCTGTAGCTAGAGTCCACAGGAATCAGAGACTGGGACTTGGGTTCTCCAAGGACATACAGAGCTGGAGTTGGGGACCCCAGGCAAACAAAAGTCCCTCTTTACAGAAGTCTCTGTCTTACAGATATCTCCTTTCTAGACATTCCCTATTTTCTCTTCTTAATCTGTTCTGGTTTTTTCATTCTGTTTCTTCTCTGCCTGCCTAATCTGCTTTCTTTCCAAGAATGTCTCTACTGTCTGTCTCATGTAGTTCTTACTCTTTACATCCTTCCCACATATTTCTCTTTTCCTCTTTTCTTCCCTAGGTTTACCTCCTCTCTTCCAGACTTTTGGCTTCCCTTCTTTCTAATCCCAGGATCAATGACTTTTCTCAGATCACATTTGTAAAATTTCCTCACTCACTCTCTCAAAGAGCTCTATTGGATAGTACCTTTCTCTCTCCCTTTCCCCCTCTCCCTCCCTCCTTCTCCCTTCCTTTTCTTTCTTTTCTTTTTTTTTAATGTCTGGGATGTTTCAGAACAATCATAACTGATTAAACTTGATTTTGAAAATCAGAGAAAAATTCAGCTTAGAACTGGAACTAAGTGCTTCAATCATCTATACAATTGTGTTTTTCTTTAAAATGAGCTTCAGCTTAGAAATTTTAAAAAATATTCATGGAAACTTTAGTGGATTGTTTGGTCAGTTTTAAGGATATAGGTTATGCTATACATGTTTTGCCTCCTTTATTTTAGATGTTGTTCATGCACATGGGTATAGATGAGTGCTGGGAGAAAATGGCTGAGATGAGGTGTCTGTTTTATGTTTTAGAGTTCGAGTGTGTATATGTGTGTGACCTCCTCGGAAGTGCTGTGGCTTCCCTTATACAGTCCAGTTTCATCCCAGTCAGTCCCAGTTAAGGAGTTTCTCCCTCCTTGGCTTCTGAGATGCCAGCAGCATCACTATATGCCTGGACTTGGCTTTTGGCTCCAATCCCCAGCAATATCAGTTAGTGGCTGATTAATGGCTTACAAGGTCAATGATGTTGCTACATTGGATCACTTCGTGTTTACTGGTTTGGCTTTTCAATTTACTTAGGTCCCTGTTTCCCTCCAGATGGACTGTGATGTAAGAGAACAGAACATATGCATTGCATGGACTCCTTTTACTTAAAATCCATCCCAGAGCTGTTGTAAAAAACGGACTCAGAAGCTTGCTTCAGCCGCCCCCCCCCAACCATCTTAAAGCTGCTTGTCAGTTGCAAAGTGCTCCAATAATTCCAGGGAAATGCCTTTATAACAAATCTCGATGCAGTGAAGTGGAATGTGCTGTGTGTAGAAGATCCCATGACCCATTTCTTTTGTGTACTCTGAGAGGGTACAGTGGTCAAGTCTGCATGTCAGCCTCACCTTCTTAAATGATTTAAAAAATTTAAAAAAAATTAAGACAGTGGTTAGATTTTGTCTCAGTACTCTGCAGATACTATTAATTTTTTCAAAACTCCTTAGCACTTGAATTAGATTGAATTGATTTAAAAACATTTGTTTTCCCGAGAGGAAGGTTGACTGATGCAGCCCTTTTTACTTTTAAAAACATTTGTTAAAAAGAAAGAGTTGAGGTTTTTCCTCTTTAAATTTGATGTATTTTAAAAAACACAAATTTTTCTCTGCATAATCTTCTTTAGACTTAGGCATCATGTAATAAGTTGTACCTTTGTATAATTTATAGTTAGTATAAATTAGAGTCTTCCCATATTTCATTGTTTAAAAAATTTCTGAGGAAAATGCTAGTAATTAAAGAAAACACAGGATAGTAATACTTGCTGTCAATGGCTCAAGTAACTGGCTGCAGAAGGACAAAGGCTAAGATTAATTTTAAAAAGCAATCTAGGTTCCTCATGTAGACTGCACAATTGGATTTCAGGCACACAAGACACCCAGTCTGCTGGCCATTTGTGAACAGAGGGACTTTGGGTGCTCACAGTGGTTTCTACTATGTGACTGGTTCTAACCACCCTTCCCCTTGCCTTTTGTTTCTGATCTGTTTCAGGACATGGAGGAGTGAATCAGCTTGGGGGGGTTTTTGTGAATGGACGGCCACTCCCGGATGTAGTCCGCCAAAGGATAGTGGAACTTGCTCATCAAGGTGTCAGGCCCTGCGACATCTCCAGGCAGCTTCGGGTCAGCCATGGTTGTGTCAGCAAAATTCTTGGCAGGTAAAGGCAGGAGCTCCAGGCTTCCCTTGATCTTTCAAATAAAGACCTAAAAGATGATCCAGCAATTGTCTGATGTGCCCATGTCATAGTGAGGATCACTGTGGCATTTTGCTCTATGTGCACAGCAATTTAGAGGTTAAAAGTCTTCTTGACACCATTCAGTTCAAAGTAGCCCCGGGAAACCCCTCTCTCAAGTAACACGTGGCATACAATGACTGAGAAGGGACTGGTTTCCCGAAGGTTTGATGAATTATTCTAAAGAACATAAGAGTAAGAAGTATTCAGGAATTTCCCCTGCACATCTTAGGTGAGCTCAGGATTGGTGAGCAGGGTTGGATGGAGAATCTGTGTTATAATATCACACAACCAGAGTTCAATGTTTCTTTTTCTTTTCTTTTCTCTTTGTGGGGGTATTGAAACCAAGGCCTTGCACATGATAAGCACATGCTCTACCACTGAGCTATGTCACCAGCCCTCAGTGTTTCACTTTAATATTTTTGAAAAGCATATTCTACTTTCAAAAGTCAGCCATCATTTTCAGTTTTGGGTTATCATCAGCCTCATTAGGCTGAGCTGAAGTATTTTCCTTCTATATGTTTTGTTTTCTTTGTAGTGACAAGCATCCGAAGTATGTATAAATTAGAAAGGAGAAAAAGAAACTAGCACACACTAACTCTCAAATTTGACATTTGAAAGTTGCTACTTGACCCAGCAATTTGCTGCAAGCAAAATACTAACAATGACGTTTCTCCCAGAGGGATGTATATAGCCTTTTAGTGTTACCATTTATTTTCTCAGTAGCCTCAGTGTGATCCAGTGAAGCATGTTTTAAGATGAGGAAACAAACCAAGTGAGCTGGAGTGACTAAGCCAGGTTTATCAGTCTGTCCATGGCTTGGGATGAAGCCTGAAGAACTCCTGAGCCATCTATATCTCTCCCCATATCCCCAGAACACAGGCAGAGGTTTGTTTTCAGGAACATAATTGTTCTAGGTCTGTCCTGGCAGACAGGAGCACGTTCAGGCTTAGCTGGTCAGTGCTTTCTCTTTCTTTCACCGGGCCACAAAACAACCATTGTCCTGTAGCTTGTGTTACAGTTTGAGAACAGGTGCCTGAATACAAAATAAATATTCTGAAGTATGTCAGTAACATTGTGACCTTCTGCTTGGTCTTGCCCTTCCATCTGCTGGAATTCAAGAAATTCTCACAGATGAAGGAAAGAGCAGTGCCAAATAACCTTGCAGAGTCTTGCTTGAGGCCAAAGAAAGGAGTTTCAGGACCAAGGGTCTGGCAGCTTCTTTAGGGCCCTCGATCCCCCTGTTCCTTTCTTCTCTTCCTAGTGCAGGTCACCTCAGCTGTGGAGGCTGAGGTTCCGCTCCTCTTTAACACTCATCAGCAAATGAGCGCCAGCCAGGATGCAGAGTATTTCAGGACATCGGCCTTGCTAGATGGTGCCTTTAAAAAGGAGGATGAGAGCTGAGAGTAGCAGAAGAAAGTAGAAGATAGGAAGGTAGAGAAAAGAGAGGGGAAACAAAGAGGAAAGAAAATGATTTTAAAAAGAAATAGAAAGAGACAGAAGCAAGGACAAGAAAAGAGAGAAAAAGAGAGAAAAGAAATATTTTAGGCTATCTCAGCATCAGACTTCTAGAGCTGAATGAATCTCAGATATATCTTCTTGTGAAGCTTCTTTGTACTGAAGGGAGAGGGAGAGAGAAAGAAGGCCCTTCCTTTGTTTTTGCTGAGACATCTTTGCTGAGCCGACATTTTGCTTGCTGTTTGAAATCTTTGAGACACCGAGCCTTTCTCCAAGGGGACATCCAAAAGCTGAGTCCTCATGTTCTACTTCACATGGAGACTAAGGGGCATAGGGGCCTTTCCAAGCCCAGATGGCAGCCTCCCACAGCCCAGAATAGATTTGTCACTAGGTAGAGTGGCACTCGCAAGTTACGCGCCGCTCCGGTGCCTGGCCGTTTAAGTTGTCAACAATAAATTGGAATTTCATAGCTCATTATTTTCATAACTAAGAACTACAGTGGACAAAATGTCACTCTAATTAGAACTGCCTTTTAAGAAATAAGTTCAGCCCTAAAACAGTGTGACTGGGAATTTCTGAACTGGGGATGTTCCATCCACAGATTTTTTTTTTTTTTTGTCACCGGAGAATTTGACGGACACTCATGAGATGACAGATTGTAGATAACATGCAGTGTGGTGGCAGTGGTTTTCAGAGGCTGTGTGGCAAGGCAGGCAAAGTCCCTGAGGCAGACAGGCAGGGACCCCTGTCCCCTCAGGAAGGTGGGCAGTCTGCCAGGAGTGTGGGCATTCTGTCCAGAGCTCAAGGCTGCAGAGAGGCTGGAGAGGCACAGTTTGGTGGCATGCAAGGCTGAGTTAAATCCACTCTGAGCCCGGCTGTTGAATTCTCTCCCTGAAGCCTGATTATTTGGAATTGGATAATTTACACAGTAAAAATAAACATTTTAATGGGGATTTTAATACTCAACTTGTGCTCTTTATTTTATGCTTCGCAAAAGGTTTTTTGGTATTTTTGTCTTCATAACAACTCTACAAGCAGGGAAGACCTCTCCCCACTGTGCTATAGGTGGGATAACTGAAGCCTAGAGAGGCTGAGTTGGCCAGGATCACACAGCCACTGAGCGTCAGGACCACTGACAAGCACCCACTTCTTGCCTTCCAAACCAATGCTCTCTGCACTAAAGGACACTGTGTATTGGTGGCTGCTGTATGTCTTTTGTCTGTGAGCCAAAGGGCTGCATGGCTGTTTTACTGAGATGAAAAGAGGGTTATTAAGTCTGAATCCTCACTTGACACAGTTGCGAGTTGGGGTTTCAGGAATGTCAGTGCTGCCTTCCAAAGGCCTGGCCCATGTCAGTCAAAAGGGAGACAGAGACCTCTCATGACAAGACCATGGCCTCCCATGGTGTGCACTGCTCAGGTGGGATGGGTGGGGAACCCTGAGTGCTGTAACCCACCAGCCTTGTGTTTGGAGGGGGAGTCTTCATCCTGCCATCCTCCGGTTGCTGTGGAGATGGTGCAGTCCCATTTGACGATCATATTTTGAATATCCTACATCTGTAACTCTTGCCCTGAAACTGTCCCCATCGTAACAGGCACTTCTTGACTATTCATTCAGTGCATGAATGAAAGCTGCATGTGAAAATACCTGTGAAACAGTAAAGCTCTCTACAAATGCAAGGAATCATCATTAATATAATTTAAAATTTTGTTACCAAAGTAGTAGTTGCCCTAGAGGGAAGTGCACTAAATTCAGAGTGAGGTTTGAAAGCTGGGGCTGTCTTTAGCTTCCAGAAGTTAGATGAGACAGACTTTTGATCATCTATTTTACCTTCTGTGAAGCCCTGCTGGCCTCAAAGGCTTGGTATAAGGATCAAGACAATTTAAAGAAGCACTCTATAAACTGTAGAGTGCTGTGCCTCAATAATGGGTTGTTGTGTTTTAGTAAGAATTGACTTTCTATTGTAAAATTGGCAGGACAGTTGGAGATTGTTGTATGCCTGGATTTACATCTTTTCTAGATTTTTTTTAACAAGAAAAAAAAGTGGATATTTTGAAAAAGCTGTTATGACTAATAATTTTTCCAGCAATTACAGAAAATTACTTTCAGTAGTTTTTCAGAAAGAGGGAGGGATAGATTGAGTTTTGTTTCATGGCAAAATTTTGTAATGACTCACTCTTCTCAATGAAAAATAGAATTTTTACTTCTGCTTCACTGCTTCTAAATTACTTCTTTTCTTCTAGTATATTCACTAACACAGCCCTAAACAGACTTTCTTGGCCTGAGAATTTCAGCACCTATGAATGTTACCTGTTATTGTTCCTGGATGACATTTCTACTCATCCTAGAATTATCTCATACTCTTCCCTCTTGTAAACTCTTGTTAGGTTGAAATATTTTTAGTTATTTTTAAAATGTTTTTTTAATTAAAAATTTCAACTGTAAGATAATCTCTTTTGGAAGAAGAGACCAAAATTCTCCCAGTAAATATTGAGAGAGACATCCAGTGACAGCTTATATTTAGAAGAAGCACCGAGTCATTTTTTCCCCCTGAAAAGATCTTTCATGGCACTCTTCTCCCTGGTCTCGGTTTTACTATAAAACCCTGACATCCTATTTGCATTAACGAGGAAAAGCTGATAGCATGGAAATGCCCTTAGAAACAGCCATTTACCTCAGGGGAGGTTCTTGGAAGAACTGCCGAGACTTGTGGTTGGTTTTTTTGATCACTTGTGTTTTGACTTCCAAAACACATTTTCTATTAATTCTGGAATCCAGCGCTCCTTTTAATTTTACAGCACTGTTTTCCTTTATGGGAAAATAAGTTGTATTTTAGCATACAGTTTCACAGAATCTTGGGAATTCTGCTAAGGGATAGAACAGCAGGCAAATCAAAGGTCTAAATCCCTTTCTTGGGGGAAATTTTAGTTCAAGAGTTATATCCTCAGTTCTAGCTTGGCCACTTGTTCTTGGGTAACCTTGAGGAAGCCATTTAACTGCTATGAATCTCTGTTCTGTGTCACAGAGAAGTGGCCATTTATTTGTTCATTTACTCATTCATTCAAAAAAATTTATGTGCCTTAGCACTGTGGAGGATCAAATGGGAAAACTGACTTGAAAATGTTTTGTAAACCATAAAATGGTAGTTGAATGTGAGTTAATTTTTGTCAATACGTAGGAAATATCAGTCGTGTATTAAATTAAAAATTTTCTAGTAACACATGAAGAAAAGTAAAAAAGATAATTACTTTTGATTGCATATTTTATTTAACATGTTATATAAAAATCATCATTTCAACATATGACCAATATAAAAATTATTAGTGAGCGATTTTACATTTTTTTATATTAGGTTTTAAAAATCTGATTTCTGGTTTACATTTGTAGTACATCTCAATTCACACTAGCCATATTTCAAATGTTCGTGTATTCTGCTGGTTCCTTGTGGCTAAACTCCTTTCTCCTTTGGTCCTAGGTATTATGAGACAGGAAGCATTAAGCCGGGGGTAATTGGAGGATCCAAACCAAAGGTTGCCACTCCCAAAGTGGTGGAAAAAATTGCTGAGTATAAACGCCAAAATCCCACCATGTTTGCCTGGGAGATCAGGGACCGGCTGCTGGCAGAGAGAGTTTGTGACAATGACACAGTGCCTAGCGTCAGTTCCATCAACAGGTGAGGGACTGGTGCTTGTGAGGGTCTGGGGATTGGAATAGGGTTCCTGAATGGTCTGTGTGTATCTTCCCTGAAGATCTGGTCTCTCCTTTTATCAAAGGTCTTTATAGACTAGCGGAGAAGAGGAGTGTTAATGGGGCCTGCAGAGTCTGTTTCCTTTCCCCTCTTTTCTTCAAAGTGGGCAGAAATTGTAGGCCTTCAGAGAGAAGACCACACCAATAGCCTGGTTGCCTGAGAATTGTGAGCCCAGAGTGATTTCAATCACTCCCCTCATCATTCAGTGGTGTAGAGCACTTGGCAGTGAATTGTCTTGAGTAAGCTTTCACAAATGTCCTCGTCCCGGCCAGCCAAGGCTCAGTGTCTTAGCACTAGTTTTTGTCAGTGGTTCCAAGGAAGAAAATCCTGCCTCCAGTTTGGGCAAAGGTTGAGCCAGTGAATGGAGCAAGCAGAGCTCTCACTCGACATTAGGAGATTTGGCTCCTTGTTCCTGCTCAGCCACCAACTGGAAATAAGACCTTGATGACTTGCTCTGAAAGCCCAGGACCATCGTGGTCCTGTTGTGGGCCTTGTGTCTCCAAGAATGAGGTCCTGATATTATGATGCTGTGGAGCGAGGGGACTGCCTCTCCTAAACTTCCCCCAGTCTCATCCACAGAGAGAGAAACACTAGGATACCAGGTACAGGATCTTTGTGAGAGCCACAATGGCTTCCTCTCCTTTCTAGGCTGACCCAAGCTACAGTGAATGGGACTCAGAGCCTTAAAAATAAAATTTATTTTAATTTATTTATTTTCTTAGCAATGCCAGTGATTGAACCCAGGGCTTCATCATGGTAGGCTGAGCTATACCCTTGGCACTAAAAATAAATTTCTGGAAGACAATTTTTTATTGTAGACAGTGTTGTCTCAGCTCCATTTAAACCCATGAAGTCAGGAACAAGGTTGTGAGATGAACAGAAATGATTGTTCTTAAATTCCACAAAGAAAAGAGAAGCCAGCAGACTGGAAACTTGAACAGTTCCCATTCTTTCAATAGCCTACCGTGATCTGTGCAGAACCTGTCTGGACACAGGGGATCCCTCACCAATGGCAGAAAGAGGTGGTCAGGCTGGCATGTCCTGAGGTTTCTTCTAGTCCTGGCATCACCCCTTCTGTGATGACTGCAATGCACAGAATCACTGTGTGAATGGATTGTGTTGATGGTTTATAAACACTTGCCCTGTTTTCTTTTTCTTGACCAACCTTTACCAAGGGGTCAAGCAAAGTGCTGAAGAGATAGAGGGGAACCGAGCACACAGCTTCTCAGTCTGGGTCTTAGGCTCCTTGTCTTGACTGGAATTCAGCTATGCACTTAGAAGTCCTCACAGCCTGGATAAACTCGCTGAGGATGTAGGAATGATTATATGTTTTGGGGGTGGAGATGAGGGAATAACATTTGTTCTTTTTCTGGATTATGAAGTGTTTCAGTGTGTTTTGTGAGTCCACTACATCAGCCTCATCAAAGGATTTCTGTGACCCAAAAAGCAACATGACTCTTTGGAGCCTCCCAAAGCATGGATGTGGTGACATATAATTAAAGCAATGCTGGAGTAGTTCTGCTCTGCAAAGGAATCATGGTCCAAATATTCGTCAGGTTTTGGGGACCCTTCGCTTTACCAGTATACCATATACATATAATTAGGGGTTTCACAAGATAACTTCAAGTACACAATGAGCACAAACTCTAAAGCCTTATGTGGGCCAGACAATGTAATGAAGGAAGCTGACCAGGCATAAGACTTCGGAAGTGGTCAGGTCTGTGGCAAACCAGATAACATAAACTCTGTTAAAGGGACATCTGCTTCTCAGCTCCATCTGAATGCTGCCAGGGATGTGGACCTAGTGTTTGCCAGTTTGTTGTTGTTCTTCAAGAGAAACCTGAAACTAGGATCCATGTTTATCTATTTGTGTGTGTGTGTGTGTGTGTGTGTGTGTGTGTGTGTGTGTGTGTGTGTGTGTTTGCATATGTGCAATCTCTGTGCTTGTTTGTTTCTGGGGATTGAACCCAGGAGTTTTGCATTCAACTCTGCTTTCAGCCCTTTTTAAACATTTTTTATTTGAAGATAAGTTCTCACTAGCTCACTAAATTGTCTAGGCAATACTTGAACCTCCTGTCCTTGTTCATCCTGTTTCAGCCTCCTAGTCATGGGATTATAGATGTGTGTCACAGCTAAATCTGTATTTTTAAGGGGTGGGAAATAATTTCAAGTATAATCCATTTACAGGGCTCCTCTGTAATACAAGGATAACAATTGACTAGTGATGAATTTATTTTCATGTATTTTAGAAAAATGTAAGCAGTACACCAAACCAGAGAGTTTATGAACTTTGTAAACTTTTTCTCACTCACTTATAGTAGAGGGAACTGCAATTGCCATATAAACTACATTTATTTTTTTATCCCTGGTACAAAAAATACATTTATTTAAGTGAAAAACTAATCCATTTGAAAGAAACACATGAAGCAAAGAGAGCAGTGGTTATAGTTGTGTCGAGGCTGTGAAAGGGGGTACTTGAATGTAAGGCACAAAGGCATTGCTCAACTGATGCTTTTTGTCTGGAGGTGGACCTTTAGCTGCACTGTTCTGGCTGCCTAGATATCCCAAACTGATTCAAAATGTTTACCTTTAATGGTTGTTTTGACTTTGGCAAAGAGCTGGAATTTGCAGTGCCAGATCCAGGGAATAAGGTGGATAAGGATAAGCGACAATTTTTTTATGAACTTGCCTTTCTGCTGCATGGTATTCAGCAGCACTATTCACTAAATTTTTTTTTTGTCACACCTTGTAAGGACATTCTGGAAAGAGGACTTCCAGAACTGCTTAAAGAAAGTGGCAAGAATGATGAGATAACTGTACTCAGAGAGAGGGGAAATATTTTTAGGGTGATTAGTGGCAATGTACTTTCCATTGTAGCAGTTGTTTTAAATATTCGCCATATATTTCAGTCATACCTCCTGTAGAACAGAGGCCCAGATAGGGAGTGGGAAGGGAAGGTTACCTTGAGATAGAGATAGGAGTAGAGTGGATGGTAAAAGAGAGCTGGTCTGTGTCTACCACTGTCCTGTGAGACACGGTCGACAACAGAGCTATGGCTCTACAAGAAGAGAGGCAAAGAGTAAAACAGTCATTCCACCTCCACTTCAGAGCCTTGTGGCTGACATATTTTGCTGCCTGTCTCCTCATCTCTTGGATCCTTAGCCCGTTCCAGTGCTCCTCTCTGGGGGCACTCTGGCTTCTCACTGTACCCTTCAGCAAGAGCTCACTGAGTGTGGACAGATCTTATCCTGATGCACGGCCACCCACAGAAAGCAAGAGCCATAGTGACACCCATGCCATCTTGCACAAGAAGGCAAAACTCCCACTGCATCCAAATGGATGCTGCTTCTAAAGCCTGGCCTCACAGTCACTCTGGAGGAGGGTCCACAGCCCTCTCCTAGCCCCTGCCTCCCTTGGAGAGGCAGAGAGAGGGAATTTCACACTATCTCATGTTTCAGGCGGGCTGGGAGGGTGTGATGGCTACACGTGTAGTTCTGGTGGCCACCGGGTCCTCCCCGCTGTCCATGCATAGAAGTGTGCTCTCCTCTGCTGTCTTCTGGGACAGACCCAGGAAAACCGCGATTGACAAGGATGTAAGCACCACTGAGTGAGTTCTACTAGACTTGTGGGAAATTTCTTGGGACACAAACCACCTTTCTGGCTTCTGAAGAACAAGTATGTGCTGAGATACTGTATAACCAATATGAGGGCTTCTCAGAATAGTTTGAGTGTCAGTTGGAGGTGGCTGTCCCTGAACTGACCCAAATGATGGGAACAGTGTCTTCCCTCTTCTGTTTGAGTTCTGTGGCTCTAAATCAGGGTCCAGGTAGTGGGACAACAAATGGTGTTCCTTGTAAAGAGGGGCAGCAGTGTTTAGTGCCACCTTGTCCTTGTCATGTGAAAACTTGGAGCTAGCTTTGTTGGGTGTTTTGAGTTTTCAAGAGAAGCTAGAAATTGGGTATTTGAGGAAAAGCTCAGAACTCATACATATTAGCAATTAATTTAAATAAAATAGATTGTGCAGGGGCTGAAGGGAGCCCAGGGGCAGCAGTTTGTTAATGCTTCTTTGAATCCTAACTTTGGCTGCGAGTCTTCTGAGATTGCTTACTGGCCCCTTCTTCACCACTTCGTTTGCTGCCTGGGTGCCACCTGGGCTCCTTTCTGGCCTGGCCCAGATAGACCCCAGGGTTTCATATTCTCAGTGCAGGTGATGGTCCACACTTCTTTCCACACTGACAGCAATTTCATCAGGGCCAGAGGAGTGTATATTTCTTCAGCACTGTCACCTCCTTTTTCAAGGCTCCGTGATTTTTCTCTTCCTGTTTGTGAGGGGGCAGTTGGAGAGGGTGGTGAGAAGACCTGTAGCTTTTCAGAGGAAGGAGAGTGTTGTTGAAGCGGGATTCATAAGTGTCTGTAACATGTGAAGTCCCTTGGAGTTTTAACCCTTAAATGCTAAATGGATTTTGAATCAAAATTGGCTTTAAGCTTCAGCTGGGAAGTATTTAGCTGTCTCTTTTAAACATGGCTCAAAGTACTCGGGCATGGGAGCTGGGCTTTGGATTGATTTGCTATGTGATCCTGGGCTTTCTAGGAAAGGTTGATTGCCACACTCCTTTCTCTTTTGTACCAGAGGATGTTCATACAGCATCCAAAATCATGTGTATGCTTTGTAACGTAAGAATGAGCCTATTTTTCTTTTTCTTTTTGGGGCTGGTGATCAAACCAAGGGCTTTGTGTATTGCTAGGAAAGCCCTCTACCACTAAGCTATGTTCCCAGCCCCAGGAAATACATTTTAATGTTGACTACCAATCAGTTCCAAATATCTTTGGGTTAGAAAAGCCCAGAATGTGTTCTTATTGGGACAGGTTGGGAATTTCTGTAATTCAATAAGCCTTATTCTTCTCATTACTGCCTCTTCTCAATGTAAGATAATGCTTTTTGTTTTTACATGGTGGCTGCTGCTATAAGCAAAAGGGTAAAATCTCTCACCCCTGTGGGCAGCTTTTAGGGTCCCCATAATTCTAGAGTCCCTCATAAAGTACCACTGTGACCTTAAAATAGGGGATGAGGGTGGCCAGTTTCCCCTTCCCAGCTCCTAAAGGGGACCCTTATGGAATTTTAAAGAAAATATGAAAATTATGAAAGTTTTAAGGTTGAAGCTGGCACTAGTCTTTATGAAGACACCAATGAGAATAACAATATTTAAAGATTACTGAGCATTTACTACATAACAACTACTTTTTTTTTTTGGTACTGGGGATTGAACTCGGGACCTTGTGCTTGTGAAGCAGGCAGAGGAACCACTGAGCTAAATCCCTGACCACAACTACTTCTAAGTAGTTAATTATTTCTTATTCTATTTTGGGGGAGTGGAGGTTGACACAGGGTCTTGCTATGTAGTTTAAACTGGCCTTGAATACACTACGTAGCCCAGGTTGTCCTTGAACTTGTGATAACTCTGCTTCAGCCTCCCTGTTCTGGGATTACATGCATACACCACCACGCTTGGCCTAAGTAGTTACTTATTTCAATCCTAATAGTATGAAGTAGCATGGTTCTTAGTCTCATTTTGCAGACGAAGAAACTAAGGCATACAGAAATAATTTACCCAAGGTTATGTAGCTAGAAAATTGCAAGACTGAAATTCAAATTCTAGTAGTTTGGTTTGGGAGCCTGTGCCCTTAATCATATTATGTAGCTGTTTGTCAATGATTTATGACAATTGATAATGCTTTACTTGTGGTTTATAAATATTTTAGAAGAAAATATAATTTTCTTTCTTTTGTTTATTTAGAAATTTCACAAAAAGCGCTTTATGCTGGACTTCAGTGAAAAATATGATATATTTCACCACATATTTAATATGTAGATAAACTATATTTATAACTGACATAGCCATATATTCAGCTATCTGGCTATATCTCTATATCTGCAGAGAAGGAGATGTACACAGTAAGTTAGATCAGACACCAACTTAATTTAAGGTGGTGAAAAAGACGGCTTGGCTGCCATGTCTTTGTCCCATCCATGCTTTGTTTGCTTAGTTAAAATAAATGGTTTGGGTATTGGAGAAAACAAACAAGCACAGACATACTCCGAATGTGTTTAAGGCAACATTTGAGCTTACTCAGCAGAAAAGGGAAAAACCCTCTTGCTGTACTCAGGTAGCCAGTGGGTACCGAGGGCTTACATTTGGGCCTGTAGGGTGGACATAAAAGTCCATTACAGGCCATTAACTGAAGATATTCAGTACTCTGGGTGACCAAACTTTAAGCTCAGGGAGGGCAGAGCCTATTGCCTAGTGAGCTTAAGGGAAAGCACCTGTGATTATATTTTTTTGGACTGGGGTTTGAACCCAGGTCTTCCCACCAAGCTACATCTCTAGCCATTTTTTTGTTTTGTTTTGTTTTGTTTTTAAATTTTGGGACAAAGTCTCAATAAGTTGCTAAATTTCTGAGGCTGCATTTAACTGAGGCAGAAGGATCACTGTGAGTCTGAAGCCAGCCCAGTCTGCATAGTGTGTTAAAAACCAACCTGAGTTACAAAATGATTTCAAGCCCAGCCTGAACTACAAAGGGAGACCCTGTCTCAAAAAACCAAAAAAAGAAAAAAGTAAATTTCCCATGCTGGCTCAAACTTGCCATCGTCCTGCCTCGACCTCACAGAGTGCTGGGATGACCAGCAAGCAACCCTGTGCCCAGCTGGCACCTGTAACTTCTGTCCTTCTTCATTTACACAAGTTGGAGATTCAGTGCAGCCTTGAAACGAACTTCCAGACACTGTATAATGGTCCAGCGTGGGGAAAAAAACTTCTCATCCAGTATGTGTGAAGCTGGGCATGGGAGCACACTCCTGTGATCCTAGCTCTCTGGAAAGCTGAGGCAGGAGGAGTACAAGTTCGACTCTTGCCTGGGCAACTTAGCAATTTAAGTCTCAAAATGAAAAAGACTGGGGATATAGCTCAGTGTGAAGATCCTGGGTTCAAACTCCGGTACTGGGGGAAGGGAGGGATGTGCATGAAACGAGTAGGATACAAAACCATATGTGGTTTAATTTTGATTTGTTAAGAGAAAATGGGTATTTTAAAATATGCACAAGAATGAGGCAAAACTCTACTAAATATCCTTTTAAAAAGTGATTGTTTGGGGCCGGGCATGGTGGTGCATGCCTGTAATCCCAGCACTCGGGAGGCTGAGGCAGGAAGGATCGCTGTGAGTTCAAGACCAGCCTGGGCTACATAGTGAGTTCCGGGTCTGTCTCAACTACATAGTGAGACCCTGTCTCAAAAACCAAAAACCAAAAAACAAACAAACAAAAAATGTAATAATTTGGGCTAGGGATTTAGCTCAGTGGTTCTGCCACCTGCCTCAAAAGCGCAAGGTCCCAAGTTCAATCCCTGGTACAAAAACAAACAAACAAACACAAAAGGTAATAGTTTGAGGCTAGAATAGAACTTTTCCAATGGAGTTGAACATTGTATTACAACATACTTTCCTTCCAAATTCCAGGCAAGGAACTTCCTTGTAGATCCCACAGAGACTTTTGGTGTGGCTTTGTTCTGTGCTCAAAGAAGCGCTGGTCCTGTGGTCTCCTGGGGTCCCATGCATTTTCCCAGATGGACGTTTATAATCTAGACTCCCTATAGCCCACATTTCTGCAGAGGATCCAAGCTACCATGTGGCAAAGGGAAAGAAGTTACGGTTATTATCTCTTTGGTGTACTGGGCTTTTCCATAAGATTTAAATTTTTTCCTTTGAAAAAGATTTAATTTCTTAAAATAAACAAAGAATGGTTTGTTCTCACTCTTCTCTCATTGTACTGAAACTCATGATGGAATAAACTTGCTAAAGGTCACCATCAAGTTCATATTAGAATTGGAACAGAGGCTCTGGAAAGACAGGCCAGGGTTCTGATCTCCTCCACCTCAGTTCTTGCCCCAGCTTGGGTATAGCATTTCTGATTGTCTAAATATAACTAGTTCTGGTCTCTTCTCCTTCCCGGTGGTAAATAGCTGTTTGTTTTTTCCCCACTGTCCACAGGATCATCAGGACAAAAGTACAGCAGCCCCCCAACCAGCCAGTCCCAGCTTCCAGTCACAGCATAGGTAAGAAGAACTTTAAAAATTTTTTAAAAATCTAATGGGCTCCAAATATTCTAAAGAACTTTTAATCATTCATATGGACAGATAATTCTGCATAAAACACTTCGGCACACGTACTAATGCGCCTTCTTTGTCATTCTCCAAGGGCTGAACCTGGTAAATGAATTTTATAAATACTGCTAAAAGGTTTTGAATTTTACTGATTATTATGATAAATAGCTTTCACCATGAGACAGAAAATTGAAATCTAAGCCAAAAAAAAAAATCCACTAATGGGGGTCTATAGAATGTCAGATAATTAAAGTAATAAATCAAGAAAGGGATACTTATTCATAACATTTTCTGCATCATTAGTCAGTAAGTAGTTTTGAATGTGTTTTTTTCTTCTATCAACCAGACCTTCTACAATTCTTTGTGCACTTGCAGTCTTGAGTGAAGATGAGGCAAAACTTTCCAAACTTTCTTTCTCTCTTTCTCTTGCTTCGATCTCATGTACTCTGTGAACTATCGAGGGCTGCCAGTGGGGTTTCTGACACTCATGGGTGAAGTCCTAGTGACCGATCACGACTTGCTATTAAATGTAAGTCTGCCAAATAATGAGCCCTAAGCCCCTCTCCTCCTAGTCACGAGTACAGACATTTTCCTTGCCTCCTCTTCAAAGATAAGTTGAAAATGACTTGTGTCTATTTAAGGCACATTGTTTCTCCATTTGGGGCAAAGGAAACACCTCTGGCTAGCTGAGGGGAAGGTTGTTCTGCTGCAAGAAAATAGGCAACCTTTTGGCAAGCCTCTCACAGTTTTGGTGAATCTGCATAATCACACTACAGGATGTGCATACCTTCTTCAGCATCACTCTTTCCTTAAGTAAAAATGTGGATTTCCCATGGTGGCAGGGAAACTGGCAGAGGGCTGGTTTATATAGTTCCATTCTGTCCTTAATTCATCTAGTGGATGGTGAAAGTCCCTTCACCTCTCTGAGCCTCAGTTTTCTCATTGGTGAATGGAAAACACAAGCCAAGTACTCTCAGATCTCTGATTCTCCAACCTTGTTTCTTTGGATAAAGGTAAGAGAGAATTCCTTGTGGCCATAAGATGTTTCTTCATTAAGCAATGCTTTCAGAAAATGTTTGCTAACCCACATCGCGCAGACAGAGGGTGGCACTGGAAACCATTGCTACAAACAAAATCCATCTTCACTGTCTTCTGAGTCCATGGAGGAATGTAGTGAAGAGGAGTTACAAAACACTGAGATGAAGCCCAAGAAGAAAGTGTGGGTGCTGAGAAGCAGAAAGGAGGGAACCTCCAGCTATGTTGAGCTGGGGTGAAAGGGCTGAGGAAGACTTCCTGGGGGGTGTTGGTATTTGTGGTTGAGATTTCATTTGTGGCTTTAACTGTTTCAGGCCATGTAGTAGTGAAACTCAGACTAGCAGTAATTGATACTATTCTTTGAATAGGTTTAATGTCTAATTTTATTGTAGGTCAGAAAAACAGTTTGTTTTGCCCCAGAATTATTTCCCCCAATACTAGGATTTAACCCAGGGTTTTTGCACTGAACTACACCCTCTGCCCTTTTTATTTGTTTGTTTGTTCAGCCAGGGTCTCAGGAAGTCACTAAGTTGACCAGGCTGAACTTGAACTTACAAACCTCCTTCCTCATCCAGAGGGGTGGGACTATATGTGTGCACCGTCATGTCAAGCTCTCAGAAATTTTTACTAAAACTGTATAGACATGTATACAGCCTCTTATAGTTGATGAACTTAATGAGCAGTGAGGAAAATGAGGCTTAGAGAGAAGAAATAACTAGTTTAAGATACTGTTGGCAGGAAGAGATCAAGCAGAAGTAGACGCTGGGTCGTTTGAGCCCAGTGCAGTCACGAAATACCTAACCAAGTGTTCTCAGCTCCACCCGTGATGTGGCAGGCCGGGCTTGGTGGGGGTTGTCTCTGTCTGAAGTACCAAGTGATCCCCTTCCTCTGTTCTTCTCATGTGAACACAGAAAAGGTGGTGAGATTTGCATAAATCTATTTTGAGGAGCTTTTTCAGTGAAGGAAAAGAGAAGTTAACGATTTCTGCCTCCATGTCTCTTAAGGAAGATCTAAGATCAAACTCAGATATGAGAAGAAAGGCACTTGCCCTCTAGATCTGTAGGAGCAAGGCACTGGACCCACTCCAAAGAAAGCAGCAAACAGCTTCTCATGAGGTCACCACCATTGCTAGTAATTCCCTATACTTCAGGATTCAGGGCAATACCACCTGCTTCCAGCCAGTTACAGTCCGAGATTGGTGGGTAGGTTTTTTTTTTTTTCAGCTTTAATTGAGTTTATTGGTACATTTTAGGGATACAGTACAGTTTACCTCTGCCCTCCCTTCACCCCCTCCTCCCCTCCCCATCTACAAACACTTTATTTTCATCTTTTCGTTCTCTCACATTTTTTTCTTTTCCCTTTTTACTCTTCCCCTACCCATCCCACCTTCCCTACACCTTTAGCTCCTTTCTTCCCATTTCTAAATGTCAGTAATCTTATTAGAATCTTATGCATTGTTGCAGATTATTTACACCAGGAAAACTATTCGGTATTTACACATGTGTGACTTATTTATTTCACTTAGGAGTATATCTTCAATATGTATCCATTTTCCTATGAATGAATCTATTTTCTCGTTCTTTATGGCTGAGTAATATTCCATTTTATAGAAAAGCCACAACTCCTTTATCCCGTTTCCAACGGGGTGGGTAGGTTTTAAGGCACCAAGAAAGAATTACCACAGCCCTGAAATGGAATCCAGCTGCAGCTGGAGAGGATCCTCATGAAGCGTACTCTCCCTTAGACTCCGGATGTGAGTCAGTGCAGCACTTGTCTAAAATTCCCCGCCCCCTTTCTTGTCCTTAGGGACTCAGAGACCTGGCCTCTGGCACAATGTCAATGACTTCGCCCCCAAGTAGAGACAGGGGAAATCTAGGCTCTGAGTGAAAAATGACCCAAGGCTAAGTTCAGGTGCTGTGGTTTATCAGCTGGATGACTTTGAATCACTTTATCTTGTGGAGTCTCAGTTTACCCATTTGATAAATGGGGGAAAATAATAGCCTTCTGGACTGTTCAATCATCAAATAAAAAATATAGCAGAAACAAAGCTGTTATTGTTCTCCCTTATGAATTAGTAGGGAACAGAATAGTTTGAGGAGGTAAGACTTTATCTCTAGGTTGCAATCACTACTCTGCCTCTTTTTTTTTTTTTTTTTTTAAATTTTGAGACAACTTCTCACTCAAGTGGCCCAGGCTAATCTCCAATTTGGGATCTTCCTGCCTCAGTCTCCCAAGCAGCTGAGATTAGGCTCACTGTGTCTCTTATTAGCTGTGTGACCTTGGGTGAGTCACTTATCTTTTCTGATCCTTGGTTCCCTTACCTTTCCAATGGGGTAATAACATCACCTAACTTGCAAGAGTTTTCTCAGAATTAAATAGGATAATGCCTCAATGCCGGGCACAAAAGAAGTTCTCAGAAAACATTAAGAATCAAAATTAACAAAAAAATAAAAAAATCCAAGTAAGTTGGAAAGAGAAAAGACAATAAGGAATATAAAGATGGGCAGCCTACTGTTTCGCTGCCTGGGAGAGTGTGTGCAGGTATTTGTCTGTGTGTGTGGATGGGCTTACAAGCAGGACTGAACGCATGTCAAGTGTAGGTCTCCATCCCTTTGTAGCATCTCTTTCACTTCTCCATTCCCTGCTTCCTACTGGCTGGATTTGAGCATGTGCCCTTCTGGCTCTGTCCCTGAGTTCCTTTCTGTACGATCAGTCTTCCTTGCCGCCCCTATTCCTGTCCTCTGCCCTGCAGCACAGAACCTGGGTAAATGGCCGAGGCTTGTGTGGTGGCTGCCACGTGCCAAGGATCTTCAGGCTGGTGCTCTCGCTCCTGCCATAGTTGCTCTCAGCCCAGAGGGTGGCACACACCTTTGTGACAGATTGCCCAGGTGCCCTCCACCCTTCAGTCCCTTGCTGCCTCTGACCACCCCTCTCCTTCTGTGCAGTGTCCACAGGCTCTGTGACACAGGTGTCATCTGTGAGCACGGACTCAGCTGGCTCTTCATACTCCATCAGTGGCATCCTGGGCATTACGTCCCCCAGTGCCGACACCAACAAGCGCAAGAGAGATGAAGGTAAGAGATGGTCATCAGGGATGGACCCAATGGGATGGGATCTGTTTGGGGTGCTCAGTGAGAGGGAGAGAGAGAGAGAGAGAGAGCGCGAGCGAGCAAAGGTTCCCACTTAGCATCCTTTATCTGTAGAAGTCCCTAAAACCTTGTCCTTTCTGGGAGTACAAGGCAGGACACACAGGCACCTGACTGGGAGTGTGGGTTGCTTACTAGTCTCTCCTCTTCACTCCTGGGATGGAAAAAGAGGCCTACCAGAGCCCTTGTGGCCTGAGCTTCTTTAAGAAGACCCTGTGTGTACAGATAGGACACCTGAAATCTCTGTGTGTGGAGGGTCTGAGTACAACACCAGTGTCCCGTGTGAGGGGGACAGTGGATAAGAGAGAAGGGGGATGGACAAAGCAGCCACAGCCTGTCCTGCAGTGAGAGGGGCCCATGTGGGGAGGGGGCGGAGGCATACTTCTCAGGGGAAGGCCTTCAGCTATCGGGAGGATGGAGGGTAGAAGAGACCAACAACCATTTCATTTTTGCCTTTGGGCCTGGAAGGAGGGAATACAGGGACCTCTCAGGATTAAAGATGACAATCTTCCTAGTTGTTTTTTGTCAGCATCTCGGTGTGCCGAGCGCAGCCTGGGCCTCTGGAACAGACGATCTCTGTGTTAGACACAGGGCCACCTTAACCCAGGTCTCCCTCCTCTGGATGGGCTGCCAGTGTGGCTGACATTAATCAGTTCGAGAGAAGAAGTGACCCCCTGGGAGTCTGTAAAACCTTAGTCAGGAAAAGAAAAGGAAAAAAAAAGAAAGAAGGCTGTGGTCTAGGGCCTGAGAGCAGCGTGACAGAAATTTTGATTCAATTATTCTGTTCCTCGGCACAATTCCCTTTCTCAGCTTCACGTAAGGGAAGTATATTCTCGGGAGCACATGCCTAAGTACTTAAGATCTGTAACTAGAAAATTGAGTCAGCCCCATGGTGGATTGGCCTGTGGTCTGCCTGTTCCAGGCAGTGCAGAAGCTGGGCCTGTGGCCTGTGTGCAGCTGTGGGGGCGTGTGGCGATGATTCATGGCTTGTGAACCTCCCTCACCTCTCTCCCCTGCTCCCAACAATACTGAGCAGATGTCAGAAGTCTTTAGCTCAGTGGGTCGCTGTGCCGGGCTGCTGTGGGAGGTAGTAGGCCTGCCGTCTCTGTTGGTTTATGGGGTTGATGATGTCATCCTTTCTCCTTCCGTCACCTGGTGTCACAGCAGATGTGCCAAGCAGGGTCCTGGCTGTGTTTGATCACAGCAGAGGGCTGTATGAGGCTCACTCAGAGTTGAGGGAGAAAGGAGAAAAAAAAAAAAATCTAGTTTTTCTTAACGTGGTGATGCATGCCTTTAATTCCAACCTTTTGGGAGGCTGAGGCAGGAGGGATACAAGTTCCAGACCAGACCAGGCAGCTTAGCAAAACCTTGTCTCAAAATAAAAAATAAAAAGGGCTGGTAATGTAGCTCAGTGGTAGAGTCCCCCTGGGTTCAATCCCTGGTACTGGGGGCGGGGGCGAGACAATGTAATATTTAGCCACAGGCAGGTCTTGATTTGGGGGATTGCTTATGGAATACTTATTGCTTATGGTCTCAGTCTCTGATCAGTAGTTACTATTCAGCCTCTCAAACTGCTTTTATTTTACTTTTGGGGGGATTATTTTTATTTTTGAGATGGGGTCTTTCTATGTAGTCCCGGTTGGCCTTGAACTCACTATGTAGCCCAGGCTGGCCTTAAACTTGCCTGCCTCAGCCTCCTGAGTGCTGGAATCACATCGGTGCACCATCACACTCGACTTTCAAGCTGCCTTTAAATATGTAGAGTCATCACAAGGTGGTTGGTGTTAGTCGTGGCTACTCTCTGCTGGTCCTATCTTTCCCTGGGGACTGTGGCCCATTTGGGGTATTGATCTTTAAAAGGGGCAGTGACAAATTGGGTTGTGTTCCGGTGGGCATAAATTGAGTGGAGAGGGATCTAAATGCAGCACCTAGGAAACATCTCAAGACTGTTTTGGCATATAGGCGAGCAGAATAAGTAGACTAGATTACTGCCTTCAAATATTTGGAGGACTGACATGGGAGGGAAGAATAAGACTTTGTTGTGTGGCCTCAAGGGTCGCTGTATGGTAGTTGCAGAGATTTCAGCTCAGTGTAAGAAAGAATCTGTACATATGAAAGTCTAGGGGTAACAGGATACTGGGAGGTAGAGTGCCCCATCTCTAGGACTGTTGTCAGCAGACTAAAGGGCACTTGGCTGGGTTGCTGTACAACGGTATCTAGACTCAGATGTGGAATTGGATAAATTTTGCAGTCTTTCTGGTAGAGTGCTGATCCCCAGGAAGACATGGAAGTAGCTCAGCCTGTGGCCTGGTGCCTAATGGAGAATGCCTTGACGGTCTTTGAGCTCACAGGATGGAGAAGCAAGGGGGACCAAGCAGCAGCCAGAGCCTCACCCTCACTCCTGCCTACCTCCCCGAGGCTAGCGATGGTTGGGCAGAAAGGCAGGCACACATGGCCTGGCTCACACCAGAGGAGTGTCTGGGAAGCACTGTGTTGGGTCCCTTCCGTCCTTCCCTCCTCCCTGGTATCTTCTTGGGTCCCTGCACCGGCCCCATGGGTAGATGAAATGGCAAAGATTGCCACTTTTGTTTCTTTTGGGGAGGTAAGTGGGACCCCAGAAAATTCTGCAACATTGGCAAAGCTACACAGCTGGTGTGGGCTGGGGAGTCGGGAGGAGGGGAGGCACCTCGAAGCCTCTGTTCCCTGTATGGCTGGCTGCCTGTTGCCCCTCAGCCCCTCCAGGCCCTTTGGAGGTGGAGCACTGTGGGGTGGGGCAATTTCAGTGGAGGGTGCAGTGATTAGGTTGGATGCTGCTGGCAGGGTAGAAAGGAGAGATATGGAGCTTAGGGGCTTGAGGAGAGCAGGGAGAGTAAGAACCAGCCACTGTGAGGACACCAAAAATGGCCGGTCATACCAGCAGCTGGTCCAGTGAGGCTGCAGACCATAGATTTGTGAGGGTGCTGGCTTCCAGAAGCCCTCAGCAGCCTGAGGGATGGGTCATGGAGTGAGAGAGGTGTTAGCAGGCCAGGAGGAAAAGAGGAAGGCAGCTGAGAGTCTCACCCCATTTCTCAGATGAGGTGACAGATAGGATGACTGAGGCTTTACGAGGCAGAGTTGCCTACTCAGCTCCCTGTGCGCAGTCGTTTCTGGCTCGGGCATTTCCTGGGACCTTTCTCCCACTCAGACCTCAGCACAGGGGTGGACAGTGATAGGGTCCAACGACAATGGATAGGCTGGTGGTCAAGATTACAAATCCAAATTCCCTCTGATGGGTAGGGAGATGAGAGAGCAGCAGGAGAGAAGCAGGTGGAGACAGGCAACTTTTGTCCCAAAGAATCTGGAATGGCTCCTCATAGAAAGTGGCACTGGAAGACTGGGTAGAGAGAGGTGATAGGATTCCAATCAAAGGCTAAAGAGAGTGAGCACACAGGAGGGACCAGCATGAAGGGCTCAGAAAGGAAGAGAGGGAAGAAAGGTGGCAGGGAAGGCCGGGTGGTCCAGCATTGACCCCAGCCCTGGCTTTTAATCTAAAAGCAGTGGGGGAAATGGCTTTGATGGTTTAGGAGACTCAAGAGACATGTGCTGTGGCCAGGCATGGTGTCATAGGCCTTTAATCCCAGCCTCTTGGGAGGCTGAGGCAGGAGGATAGGAAGTTTGAGACCAACTTGGGCAACTTAGTGAGACCATGTCTGAAAATAAAAAAGGGCCAGGGAGTAGCTCGATGATAGAGTGTCCCAGGCTAAATTCTGAGTACAGAGAGAAAGGAAAAAGAAAGAAAAAGAAAAGAAACATATGGTGCGTTGAATGATTTGGATATTAGGGTGGATGTGAAAGTGATTAGCCTAGAACTATCCAATAGAAACAAGCCAAGTATATAATGTAAAATATTCTAGGAACCATATTAAAAGAAGTAAGGAAAAAAAAAGTGGAATTAGTTCTAAGAATACATTTTACTTAGTCCATTATACTCCAAAATACTATCATTTCAACATGTAATCAATATAAAAAATGTGATGACATGATTTTCCCTTTTCTGGTACTAAGTCTTTGAAATATGGTTTGTATTACACTTAAAACACGCCTGAATTTAAATGCTAAATACTTGACAGTTGAAGTTAAATGTAGTCAGCCCTACCAAAACAACAAAGTTGTGTTTAGTGGAAAAATATTTTCCATGGCTTCTGTTTTTAAATTTAAATTAGTTACCATGAAATGAAATGAAAGTTTTAGTTCCTCAGTTACACTAAGCTACATTTCAAATGCTCAGTAGCCACAACACTCTAATGTATTAGACAACACTGAATACAAAGTAGGTGCCCAGTAAATGCTTCGTGGTGGAATGGATCCCTTACATGCTTTTAGAGTGTTCACAATTAGTGGGTGAATGAGGAGCTCCTATCTACAGAGAGTCCTGTTGAAGATTTCTGTAGCACGAACAAACAAGCTTGAACACTGTCTGACTAGCAGATTGACAAAGGCCCATTAAGACTAGAAATATACTAAGTTTCTCTCCAGGATGCCTCTAAAACCAGACTTGGGGATGTGGCCCCTTTGTCCAAATCTCAGATGAACTATTCAGTGGCCAAAGCAAGTTCAGTCCTTATGGGCTGAAGGCAGAGCTGGGGCTGTCTGAGGGAAGCTGTGAGTAAGGTACAGCTTCTGAACCACAAACAAGCCAGGCTGGGCCACAGATAGAAGGATCATCTTGGAATGGCAGTGAGTTCCCCATCACCAGAGGTGTGAGCAGAGGCTGAAGAGATGAGGGTCAAAGAGTCAAAGAAGGCATTCTGGTTTGGGCACCAAGATTTCTGAGGCCTGTGATAGCCTGGGTAGCAGGTGCTTCTGAGAACTGTTCTGTGTCTGGTGGCTCTTCCCACTTGTTTTTCCCTCCTGGTGCCTGGCTTCACGTGTGCCATTCATGTGGGCAT